CAGTTCCCAGGACACGGGCACAGACTCAGACACAGGAGGGCCCCAGTCCCCAGGACACGGGCACAGACTCAGACACAGGAGGGCCCCAGTCCCCAGGACACGGGCACAGACTCAGACACAGGAGGACCCCAGTTCCCAGGACACGGGCACAGACTGAGACACAGGAGGGCCCCCGTTCCCAGGACACGGGCAGAGACCACCCAAAGTGCTGGCATGACAGGTATCAGCCGCCCCTCCTGTTTTAGGGTCTTCCTCGTCTCCTTTTTTTTTTTTTTTTTTTGAACATGTCTTAAATTGTGTTTTTAATTGAACTTTAGGTTGCGGGGTACACGTGCAGATCATGCATCAGTGCTGCATAGGTACCTACATGGCAAGGTGGTTTGCTGCCTCCATCCCCCCACCACCTACATCTGGCATTTCTCCCCATGTTGTCCCTCCCACCCTCCCCATCCGCCTCTGTCCCTCCCCCATTTCCCCCCAACAGACCCCAGTGTGTGACGCTCCCCTCCCTGTGTCCATGTGTTCTCATTGTTCAACACCCGCCTATGAGTGAGAACAGGCGGTGTTTGATCTTCTGCTCTTCTGTCAGTTTGCTGAGAATGATGGTTTCCAGGTTCATCCATGTCCCTACAAAGGACCCAAACTCATCCTTTTTGATGGCTGCATAATATTCCATGGTGTCTATGTGCCACATTTTCCCTGCCCAGTCTATCATCGATGGGCATTTGGGTTGGTTCCAGGTCTTTGCTATTGTAAACGGTGCTGCAATGAACATGCGTGTGCACGTGTCCTTATAGTAGAACGATTTGTAATCCTTTGGATATATACCCAGTCTTGGGATTGCTGGGTCCAATGGAATTTCTATTTCTAGGTCCTTGAGGAATCGCCACACTGTCCTCCACAATGGTTGAACTAATTGACACTCCCACCCACAGTGTAAAAGTGTTCCTCTTTCTCCACATCCTCTCCAGCGTCTGTGGTCTCTGAATCATCTGCCTTTTTAAGTCACGCCGAGGGCCTGGCACTCCCGGGCTTTCAGCTAGGGCCGGAGGTCCTCACTTCTGCTACCGATCACAAGCGGTGATTGTTTCAAGGGAGAGGAACCGGGGCCCTGCTTCGATTCAGAATGTTCCCCAGAGGAGAGATACCATCTGTGACTGATGACTAATTCTCTAGAACATGCTCTGTGAGGAGAACATGCTCTGTGAGGTTGTTTCTGTTCGGTTTTTTGGGGGATGGGGGGTGGGGATAGACTTTCACCCCGGTTGCCCAGCCTGGACTGCAGTGGCATGATCTCAGCTCACTGCAACCTCCATCTCCCGGGTTCAAGCGATTGTCCTGCCTCAGCCTCCTGACTAGCTGGGATCACAGTCACCCACCACCATGTCCAGCTAATTTTTCTATGTTTAGTAGAAACGGGGCTTGTCCTTGTTGGTCAGGCTGGTCTTGAACTCCCGACCTCAGGTGATCTGCCCGCCTCGGCCTCCCAACGTGCTCGGTTTGACCCAACAAGGAGCAATGGCTCACACGTGTGATCCCAGCACTTTTGGAGGCTGAGGCGGGCAGATCACCTAAGGTCACAAGTTCCAGTCCAGCCTGGCCAACATGGTGAAACCTCGTCCCTACTAAAAATACAAAAATTAGCGGACCTGGTGGTGGGTGCCTGTCATCCCAGGTACTCGGGAGGCGGAGGCAGGAGAATCGCTTGAACCCGGGAGGCGGAGGTTGCGGTGAGCCGAGATCACAACACTGCACTCCAGCCTGGGCGACACAGTGAGACCCCGTCTCAAAAAAAAAACAAAAAAAAAACCTTTTGTACGTGTGCATTTTCTTCTCCCCTTGCACATGTCTCACACAGAACAAGGTGATGCTAGAAAAACACAGGCGGTTTTACGATGTGTTTTTCCACGGGAATGAGACAAATCCTGGTACACCCGGAAAGTGTCTCGAAAATTTCTTCTGTGATGACTAAAAACCTGGTTGTTTCTTCTGGGTAATTTCGGTGTCTACTCAAAGCCTCTGACAGCCCTCACTCGGTGTAAGGGAGAGGGATAGTCGGTGCTTATGAATGAGGATGTGGCTTTTCTTTCTTTGCTTTGCGACGGAGTTTCGCTCTTGGTGCCCAGGCTGGAGTGCAGGGGCGCGATCTCGCCTCACCGCAACCTCCGCCTCCTGGGTTCGAGTAATTCTCCTCCCCAGTAGATGAGATTACAGGCACCCACCACCATGCCCGGCTGATTTTTTTGTATCTTTAGTAGAGACGGGATTTCACCATGTTGGCCAGGCTGGTCTCGAACTCCCGACCTCAGGCAATCCGCCCACCTCGGCCTCCCAAAGTGCTGGGATGACAGGCGTGAGCCACCGCAGCCGGCTAGAGTTAGCTTTTCTTTAAAGCGAAGTTGATGCCATCATTGATGTGGCGAATTCCCCTCCGTGATGATGGGGGGGTCTCCCAGACAGTTCCCGTGGTCCTCAAGCGTCCCCATGCACTCTGACCATTGAGTTTGAGAATGTTGTGTCCGTCATAATGCCACGTAGGAGCTGTCTTTCGTCACAAAGGTAAAGCCGGCAAGAGTGACCACATCACCGCCTTGGAGGGGCTGCTGGGGAACCTGCAGGGGTCTCCCAGAGGCCTCGGTCTCCCCGGTCTGTGGGCCGCTGCTCCTGGGTGGCTCGGGCTCGGTACTGGTCAGCTGGAGCACCACGGGCTCCTCAAGGCCAGCGTCTGGCTCCCCGCCCGCCAGGCCGCTCAAGTGGGCCAAGTTCTGGGTGTCTCTGATCCATTCCTGCCAGGAGGAAGAAAGAAAGAGAGAAGGAAGGGAGAGAGGGATGGAGGGAAATGAAGATGGAGGAAAGAAAAAAGGAAGGAAGGAAGGAAGGAAGGGAGGGAGGGAGGGAGGGAAAAGAAAGAGAGAGAAGGAAGGAAGAAAGGAAAGAAAGAAAAAGGAAACAAGAGAAAAATACAAAGAAAAAAATTGAGAAGGAATAAAGAAAGAAAAGAAAGATGAAAGAAATAAAGAAAGAGAGAGAGAGAGAAAGAAAGAACAGAAAGAAAGAGAAGGAAGGAAGGAAAGAAAGAGAAAGAAAGAAAAGAGAAAGAAGAGAAATGGAAGGAAGGAAGGAAAGAAGGAAGGAAGGAAGGAAGGAGGAAAGAGAAAAGAAAGAGAAGGAAGGAAGAAAGGAAAGAAAGAAAAAGGAAGCAAGAGAAAAATACAAAGAAAAAAGATTGAGAAGGAATGAAGAAAGAAAAGAAAGACGAAAGAAAGAAAGAGA